CCGGCGTGCTCCGTCCCGGCTTTGTAGGGATGCGAGGTCAATGGTCTAACGACTACGGCATGCACGACTATGAGTACCCCCCCCCCGCCCCCCCCCCGGCAGCTCATCCAAGCCAAGACAATTCTCCACTCTTCCCACAATTTCCAGGCCGCTGACTAAGTGGCGTGAGTTGAAGGAGCAACTCGGACCTTCGAGAGGAAGACTGAAAACTCTCTGGACAGCCGTCCTACATGCCTACCCCAAGGCTGACATCCTGCCATGCGCACGACAGGGAGGAGAAAGCTCAGTTAGCCTGCGAGGAACATCGGCACGTGCCCACCGGGACATGCTGTCCACCAAAATGGCGACGTCAGCTTGCCGACTTGTCCTGGCTCTCCCACCCCCTCGCAGTAGTTGCTTACAGTTTGTACAACACGCGTTCATGTCTGGTAGGAGGTGGACGCGAAGACACGCGTAGACTGTGCACAACCGTGTTTTGTGTTCGTGGATTTCTCTTTCAAATGATAACAGCGAGTTGCCTTTCGAAGTCCTACCCCCCCATGCTGCGCACACACCCGCGGCTACCGTCGGCGACAATCGCGCAGGTGGAGGCGGAGGGGAAGCTGTACTCTATCCCCGATGGCGTCAAGATGGTCCGTCCCGGTTTCGAGGGGAAGAAGGGCAAATGGTGGAAGGTGGGATGGGTTGGTGGGCTGGTGTACTGTATGCGTCCCACGGGCCATGTTGCACCTTGGACTTGTTATTGAGAAGGGGGAGGGGGAGCTGCTTCTACTGCAGCGTACACGAGTTGTGTTGATGATGTGGCGCGCGTGTGTGTGTGCCCAAGCTCTCCCGCCGATTCAATGAACTTGCAAACGCCTGGGGCGCGTTCTCGACAGATGGTTGTTGTTGTCGACATCCCCTCTCTCTGCCCATCATACCTTGCCGAGCGCACCATGAACTGTTTTCTCTTTTTGCTGTTCAAGAGTCCCAACGCCCCTTCTGCCAACAATTGCCCTTGAGACACCGAAGTTCTGGTGTTTTCGTCCTCCACCCCCGCCGCCCCTCTTCCCACCAATTGGCTGTTCACTTGAACGGGTGTTCATTACAACACTTTGATTCAAGTTCCGATTATTTAGCCACCACATTTCTTGTCAAAAGACAAGTTGCCCTGTTTTTAGCGAACAACTCATCGCACGGACTTTGTCTGCAAGCTTAGCTTGCCAAAATTGCACCTCTAGGCGATCCTGGCAAGCCGGCGTTGAGGCTGTGGAGATATGTACATCGACCTTGGCGGAGTGTCACAAGTAGGGATCACTCGCCTCTCCTTGCGGTGGTACCACTCGACCTTATACGCATGCATATCGGCGATGTTCTATTCCGTTTGCCTCTCATACGCAAAACAAAAATCGGCAGAGGATTTCCCGCAAGACGAAGGACTCGTCCGATGACGATGGAGGTTCTAATGATATGCCGAAGCCCCCAGCTTGTCTCGAAGAGGTGATGGCCACGGGAGCTGCCGACGGCAATGACGTTGCCCCCGGCAGGCGGAGGTACGAGACCCGGCCCGCCGATGGCAAGGGGAGTCACGACTCTCAGCTACACGGGGCGGGTGTTGCCTTGTCGGGCGCTAAGTTTGGGCATGGTGGAGGGTTTCTGATTATCTGTTTCGTAGCAGCACACTTTGCCTCTGTGTGCCACCACTGGTCAAGTCTCATGGCTTGACTTCGGCTGCTATGAACATTTGATGATGCGCCGGAAGAGCGCCACGACGAACGAGGAAGGTGCGTGGACTTTTTCACGAATCGGGATGCTGAAGTTGCAGGGCAACACGTTGCGATGAAGTTTAGTACGAGACTATAATAACAGTGTTGGCGCAGGAGAAGGTAGGTGTGGTTCTGTTACACGGTGAGTTGTCGACGGTTTCACCTCGACAAGAAAAGCTGTTCGTAGTTGGGACACCGATGGATTAGTCGTCCCTCGCTCGCACAACGTTTCGCCCGCCTGCCTCCCCCCACCCCCCTGCATGGTGTACTCTGCGTCGCTCTATTGTAGCATCATCATTGTCGCATACCCCTCATGCCGACTGTGGGCTTGCTCTTCTGCGGAACGTCGACAGTACCAAAGTCACTCCTGAGATGTATGCCTCTGCTTCTTCCCCCTCAAATCAGTGGCGACGGTGACATTGGTGGTGAGGGGCCGGCGGCAGGAGAAGACTTACGCTCTGCCGTGGAGCGCGCTTGCCAGATCTGCTTCGGCCAAAACTATTCCACCGTGATGCTGCCTTGCGGGCACGGTGGCTTGTGCTGGGAATGCGGGCTGCACATCTACGCGCTAAAGGAGGAGTGCCCCATGTGCCGAACTAAGATTGAGCTGGTGAGCGAGAGTGCGGGGGGTTACTATTGCAAGCACATGACAGACCAGCATCCGAGCTTTTGGACCCTGCCCGCTACTGTTCCTTCGTTCGCTCCAGACGCCCCCTCCATTTTCCTGGGTGGCTTTCTCCGACGTCCGTCCTACTACTGCGAAGACAAGTTTCGCATTGGCTACTAGTGTTGAGCGATCAAACAAACTCAGGACTCACGAAAACGGAAACGAGGCCAGGGTAACGAGGCCGAGGTCGTCCACTCCACCGCCTGCCAACCCTCGCGGTCGAAAAACCCAGCGTCAGGGACACAGACTGAACCTCGTTCGAATCAATCGTGACACACGAATGAACCCTTTTTGGGTGGTTAGTTCGCGCGTGACCAAGGAAGGTGAACCTGCACTGAGACGAGACTTGAGTAGACGTTTACCGTTGAGACGACGACAAAAACAAACAAGTATCCACAGGCGATGTCGCGCACCCTCACTGTTGTCTCTGAATATCGTTCCTGCTTCTTCCGCGCGCCGCTTCATCTCTCGGTCAGCTCGTCCCACTGGATAACGAGAACAAGCGATTCGAAGGCGGGCGTGAGTTCGTGCCGTCCTCAACTGCCTTCGGCAAGGACGGGAAAACGCTGTAGAGGTAGGTGCCGGCGTAGTCACGGACCCAACTTGAGCGACACCGCCAGCCCCTCTCTTGTCCCAGGAGAGTTCGAGAGGTGGTGGAACCTGTTGTGCCGGAGTGCTGGTGTCATGCAGCAAAGAACACGCCGGCCTTTGGGAAGGAAAGGATCGATCTAGAATGCCTTGTTGGCGATCGATTCAGACGTGATGCTGGCGTGCTATTTGCCGCAAGTCCGTGTCGTCGTGAAAGTCTTCCCGACTTCTTCGCACGGTCCCCCTACCTTCCCCCGCCCCCCATCCCCGGGTGTATGCTCCACCTCACAAGGGGAGTGGGCATGGGGCGTGCGGTAGCGTTGCGTGGTTCTTTTTTCCGTTCTCTCACGCCTTGTATCGGATGTTTCAATTGTTGCGGCTAAAGCATTCTGAAAGGGGTCGATCATGTGGTGGTGTTGGGCGAGGTTCGCTTTGGTGTGGTGCGCTTCCGGATTTGATACTAGTATTCGGCCAAAATTGCGGCCACAGGCTACGCTGTCGAGATATCAACGTTTTGAAGAAAAGTTCAATGTCTCTACAGTAGACCCAACGTATGTATATGTTCCGAATATTTGCGTTCAAACCCTGATACCCGAAGGCATTGCGGCAAAACCAAGATTTGACAACCAAACTATAAAGAACGTCCGTTGTTGTACTACTGTCGGGTATGCTTATATATGTTTGGGCGAAAATTTGGTTGTGTGGTCCGACGAATGGGGGGCGGCGGCGGCATATACTTGTTCGTATGAGGGCCTTCGTTCAAAAATACTTCGAAGGCCGATGGCTGGGGAAACGGGGCGGGTGACGGAATGATTTCGCTTGCCAAGAACAACTTCTGGGTTGGTTTGCCGGGCTGGGCATGTTTTCAGGTCTCATGTATGTGGAGCCTGAATAGATGAGACGAATACACACAGTCAACATGGCCATACCTGTCCATGATCTTTCCGTCACGGTTGTCTCGCCGCAATCGATATTGTTGTGTTATTCAATTTTCGTAGAATCGCGGTTGTCTCCTTGCAATTGATTTTATTGTTGTATTATTTCATTGTCCTACAATGTTTTTGTACAAAGAGACAGCTTGTCCTAGGTCTTCCTATTCGTCGAGGTATCAATCTACAACCGTGCGAAACGTTTTCAAGTGTTTTGGACGGTTGGTGGATGCATGGATGGGTGAAAATCAACGGGAAAATCTGCAGCCTTTTTTCCAGTGTTACACATACGAAAGCAGCTACGAACACCACGTAGGCCGTATCCTCATTTCTTGTGTCCTATCGGCTACGTAGTGTGTATCTCACGTGCCACCATATTGCTTGCAGTTTGGTGATTGGTTAGGACTTGTTTGTGCCTTCGGTTTCTTCTCTTGCTGGACATCGAAAATGATGACGCCCAATATAATATCAGGATGTCGTGAGGATAAGCTCTATGTAGTTGTGGTCCGTGGTGTCGGGCGTCGAGACAAATTGTTTTGGGTGCACGTTTGCTTCCACACTGCAAGCCTTGTCGGTGTCAGGCAGCGTTGGTTTTTACAAGCAAGGTGTATCCCGGGAATACCCGTGCGCCTCTTGCTCTTCACCGTGCTATACTCCCCTCACTTTTCTCCCTCTCGCATCGACCCCTCCTTGACCCCTTCGCGGCGTAATAGTAATACCTGGCCGATGGGACAAGATCTCAAAAAAAAAAAATGGGTACGTTCGTAATATATTCTCTACGACACCGGCCGGATCTCAGCCCACAGGGATTCAATTGACAAACCCAATCGCGTCGTGTAGCCACCACCCTCAGCTCTCACACAAGCCTTTCGGGGGTCAAATCGGATCAGTGGTTGCAGAGACAGGGCAAAAAAGGGCGGGGGCTCAACGAGATAGTAGGGGGTGCCTACCACAAAACCTACCGTAAAACTCCGCGCTGAGAGCTCCAATCGACACGAAGTATATTGCGTTGTGTAGCCACGGCGGGCAGCTATCACACACGCTTCTCAGACGTCAAATCCGACCCGCCTGTGCAGAGATACGCTATGCCAACTTTGGTGCGGGCAAAGGTAATTTCCAAGTACTGTCCGTATTGTTCGAGGGCGGAATATTTTTGCGGGACATGCACGTCGGGGAATCCCCTGAGCGTGCCTGATATGGACTATTAATATGTGGCGTTAGCTGGCACGTCACAAGGCGGCTAGTACATTGAAAGAACAGAGGTGGTATCTCTTGGAGGCACGGGATAATTACCGTTCATTGCTTTCGCATTCATGGTTGCCGCTTACCCGCCCGCCTGCGCTATCGCAAGTGGAAGATGCAAGAGAGGGTGTGCATCGTGGCTGAAGACACTCATTACGCCAAAGTTGTCTACATTTCGAACATCGCAACAGCAGTAACCGCTTAAAAGAGTACTTCGCGGTACTGAATCGTCCATTCAAGGACGCAGTAGGCACCGCCTCATACACTCTGTAGGCGAGTACCCCGGAATATAATAAATCTGTCAACACAGATCTGTTGCCTGCAACAGCGATGGAAAACTAACGATATACTTCAAGTACAACAACGAACAATAATTTCCCGTAAACCATGTACAAAATAAACTTGTGTTGTCCAGCAGCCTCCCATACCATACTATGGTGACCATTTCCTCGTTTTCTCTGCTATACTCATGTGCGCGAAACCCTCTCCGAGAGATTGAGACACCAGTACTTTGATCGTTTCTGCGACCCACATCAGACACAAACGCAAGAGACACAACACCAGACAAAGCGCGTCGAAACCCTCTACTTCAATGTGTCGATGCAGGAGAAGAAATCATCCTGTTTGTCTACACTGGCACCCCCACTCCCAGTTGTTGTTCGAGATTTTCGCCATCGCTCAAGCTGCTGCTGCTGTGGTCTGTCTTGTCCTTCTGATCCGTCATTTCGGAAGGGTTCCTGAGAAAGAGCAACAACACAAGCATGACGTAGGACTAGCGACGATTCATACGATGCACGAAAAATAGAATCCGGTATCGAACGAGGTCCTACAGTATCGTCGCAGGATCCCCTCGCCAAACGCACCATCTCCACCTCTCAGCCCCGATTCGAACCACGCATCAAGCCGTCGTTTTCAGACCCTCCTGCACTTACGTCGCCGACGAGCTCGTACATACGCCCGTCGTCAACGCCATGGCCCTGTCGTACGCGTCCGCCTTCCCGCCCGGTGGCTTTTACACCAGCGGCGCGCCGTGGGCAACACTAGCAGGAGCAGAGACAACGACGGCAGAGAGGCGCTGACAGCGAAGCACCGCCTGGCGCCTAGGCCGGCGTACAGCACTCCTCCCAGCATCGCCCCCAGTCCCAACCCGAGGCCCCCATGCAACCCTGACACCGCGCCTTGAATCGTTGTTCGCAATTGAGCTGGAGAGCATTTCGTTGTGTGCATGAACGCGACACGTTTCGGTCAAGGGTGGGAGGGGCATCTAGCTATGTAGACTATGTGAGTTGATGCGTGAGCGAACGAAGGCTCGGCCTTGGAACCACTTATGTTGTTTGGCGACAAAGCCATGCTTGTAGCATATACCTACACCACACAGGAAGCTCAACCCTTTGGGTCTACCGGCGTCATGACAGATTACTGATTGGTCATTTGCAAAGGCTGGTGTGGTGGCATGCTTTGGAGTTGCCGCCCTATATCCCTTCACGCCAGGTGTTCGCAAGTCCATAGGTGGGTGTGTCGTTATTGCTATCATCGACCGTGCTAACCGGCGACCAATCAAGATACGTAATGTAGTGCCAGCGGGCAATATCAAGGTCCCTGGTACGTACCAATATTCGAAAAATGCACAGAGCGCAATGCGCTAAAAACGAAGGCCACAACGAATCTCTCCCTACATCCTTTCACAGAGACAAACATGAATAGCTCCACTTACATGCCTTCGCCCGAATGTAGGACGCCACCGAAGCAAAGAGCGGAGGGCAGCAAAAAGGGGCACTTCAAGCCCAACCAGGCCAGGATATCGTGGTATGCCGCATATTCTCTAAATTAAAAAATGTACGCTTCCAAGATCTAGCAGTAATCGTGTGAGCAGCTACACTACACAGCAGCAGCAGTACAGACGAGTCAAAAATACATGTAGCAACACATAAATATCATCGTAGTCCCACACATACCCTCGCCCGAACCTAGGGAGCCGCTGATGCAAAGATAGGTTTGTGCTGGTGTGCTTGTGGGAATTGTGGAAAATCACAGGAGCTGCAGTGAGCCGGCGGGGTTCACATTGGGGAGGGGACAGAGAAGTCAGAAGTACAAAACACAGCTATGGGTCTGCAAGCCTCTCATTGATCATTTTCACTGATCATTTGAATATACGGAAAACAAAATTTTTAGGCAGCTTGACTGATATTTTTCAAGGTCTACAAGCCTAACCTGCCCTACCGGCCGCACCGCGACCACGCATCAACCCTCTATGGCCCTGTCTGTGCCCATCATCCTGTCGCGGGATGACCCTATGGCCAATAGGTGGAGACAGCTAATATTGCGTCTACAGTACACTGTCTCTATTTGCTGCACTTTTGTGCTCTCTCTCCCTCTTTATAATTGCCGAACAAAAAGAATACGCTAGACCCAAAGACCAAGGCAACGACACACCGTGGGGAAGCTCAACGAAGCAGAATCTACGTCTAAACAGTCTTCGTTCTTTGGTACCTGGAGCAATTTGGTGCGCGTAGTCGGTGGTAGCTGCCCACATGGCCGCAAAGGTGAGGCCGTGCAACACCTCCGAAGGCAGCACCCACCACGGCTCTCGAAGAACCTGCAGACAACAACACGAGCGACTGCACGCGCTTGTCTCCTTCCTTCAATAATGCCGCACGGACGCCACGCATGCCTTACCCTTGACCAGATGTCGAGATGACACCCAACAGTCTCAACTGAAAAAAGAGGCATATTTCGAGCTTCGACAGACACGCGAACAGACACGCACACGCTAAAACGCACCGAGTAGTAGACGAAGCGAGTGAGGTAGGCCAGCTGGGCCAGGGCAATCACGCCCCTCGCCCCGGCCCGCCGAATGAGCGGCCCCGACAGGTAGAAGAAGGGCACCTCCGCCATGCACATGATGAGACGAGCCAACCCGCACAGAACGCGAGAGCCGCCCAGCTCTTCCAGCCTTGAGGAGGATACATGAAGAAACAAGGGAGAAGCAACTTACGAGCAAATCATTCCACTCCTTGCGCCGCGACGAAGCACGCGGTCAGGTTTCTAGGGTGCTCGCAAAAAGGTTAAACGCAAAATTGTTGGGTGAGGCTGCAGGATGGGATTGGAGTTGCAGGACGAACCAAGCTACAACGGCTGGGAACGGAATATGGCAAACGGGCCCAGTTCGATGTGCTTTCAAGGGGCATGTTTACGAGCTCTATCACAACAACCAATCAAGCCTCCTTGAGCCGTATGAATGCGCCGACTAATTCATCATGCAAACACTTGTGCCCTACATCCAAACACCTTCAACCATCACATCACCTGATGAACAGAAACGTGTCGATGACACCTCTGCCCATGCCGCTCAGCACCACCGCCGTGAAGAATGACGCGCTCTCGTCCGTACTGAGCATGATGCGGATGGCCATGACCACACCAGCTTTCTCTCCCGCTCCTTCTTCCTCCCCCCCTTCCCGTTTACCTCCACCGCCCGTCCTACTGTCCCCGGGGTGATACTCCAATAGTGCATCGCCATCAGTTGTTTGGGCTTCATTGTCGTCGTCGTCATCGTCGTCGTGGAGGTCGAGGTGATTGTCCGCAGCAGCGGCGGCAACGGTGGCGGCGGTGCTGGTGTTAGAGGTTGAAACCGTAAGCCTCAGGCTCGAGCCCACTTTCTTGTGCTCTTGGTGGACGCCCTTCCATCCTATTCCTTTGTCGTTATTCTCCCTGTCCGCGGACTCCAACACCTCCCCGGATGCGTTGCTTCTGTTGACAACATTGAAACAATAGTGCATCGTGAATGCCACTGTCGTCGATCAAGGGTCTAGAAACGATCCGACCATCAAAAGCAAGAAATGATATCAACACGTACAACCATGAAGCAAGCAGCACACCCAACACACCCGCCGCTGGCTCCTTCGATGTTTTGGTCGTTGTTGCCGTTGCCGTTGTCGTTGTCGTTGTTTACTTGCCCGATAGGAACGCCCGTCGACGCCATCAGCGCCACCAGAACATTCCCCACAAACACCAGCATCACGCCGGAAAAGCTGCCTCCGTACAGATCGCACACATACCCGGCGACCAGCGAGGCGGTCCCGAAGCCCACAGCACCCCATAACCGCTGGGAGCCGAACCTTTGACGAGGGGGGGGGGGGGGGGGC